GATTCTTTAGTATGTGTTTTAATTAAAAATTAACTCATTGCATCGATAAAACCTTAGTTTTTCAAATAATTCGTGTTTTAAGCTTCACGGATAGCTAGATGATTCCTCTACATCACGATATTGTTGGGTTAGATTAGTAAAATTGCAGACACAAATAATTTTATATTTATATTTATTTAAAGGAACACGTAATCAAATTGTCATAAAACTAAAGATTTTACACGTTTAGATAATAAATCATAAACTTACACCTAAAATCGCTTCCTATGAGTAACGCCTTGACCGAAAAAAGTATCATTTGTTTGTTTTTTAGAACATTTTGAGTGTATATGCAAATTATAGTTTTATGTCATTAACAAAACATTATCATTTTATATAATTATCAAAATAAAAATGGCACTTTCGCCCTTAAAGTTGAAAATAATTAAAATTTTAAGTCTTCTATTTTGGTAGACAATAACTCATAGGAACGAGCATTTACTCGGAGGAAAGAGTTAAGCTGCGTTCCCATTTGCGAACATTAATGACCAACTGTGAGTTATTAGGCAAACATAAATTGTTACTTTCAACAACGTAGTAAATAACAATGTTATTTACTAAAAAAATATTTTTTATAAAAAAATGAAACCGCCTTCATATTCATACCAAATAACGTAAGTGCTTTGAAGTTGGGCTGATTTAAACAAAAGAACAAAAAACAAAAATTGTACATGTTTCACGCCCGATTTTTATTTCACTCTTTTTTAAAGCATCACTTGTAAATAGGTAGGTTAGGATTCACTACACATATAAACCGCATCAATCAATGAACATCGGTCTTAAATTTATATAAAGTGGTAACGAAAACGACAGTATTTTTAAGATTTGCTGAAAACTACTGAACCGATTACAAAATTTCAAAAAATGGTACCTACTTGGTAAAAACTTGATTTGTTATAACGTTTGAATCACTTCAATCGGTTCAGCTGTTTTTAAGTAATCGGTGTACATAAATATTTTAAAAAAAACGCGACAAGTAGATAACCTCCTCCTTTTCAATTTTTGAAGTCGGTAAAAAAGGACTTAGATCAGGGTTCGTTCATTGTAATCCTATCAACTTATGTGAAATATAACAATATGTAGTATGTCATTTTAGTAACCGTAACATTGATAAAATATTTTATGTATGTACATACAGTTTACACTCATTTATTCAGTCTGACTTCAGTCAGGCATAATCAAAATGTAGGCTACATACTAAAAACTTTTACTTACCACTAAAGAAACAAATAAACAAAGAAAACTTAATTTAAATTATCCTTTCCAAAACAAGTATCGCAGATATAGTCATCAAAACCAATTATTTCTCTGCCAGCGCATGTGGTACAAGACAACATTTTACAGGCTATGCATTTTCTCATACTGTTAGTAAACGGAATCTGAGCTTTACATTCATGGCATTTTAAAGTACGAGTGATGGCACATCTTATTGATTTTGATTGTGATTGCTGATATTTTCTATTATGTTTTTGTTCATTAGCTTCTATTTTTATTTTGGATTTACTGGCATCACATGGGTGCAAAGAAGAAAGTTTGCGTTTCTTTGAACCATATATTTTTGTTGTATTCTCTTTATTAGAAGAATTATTCATCATTTCACTATTCTCATTACTTTGCGTCATGTCTTAATTTTTTTCGTTTAAAGATATAATAATCATTATTCATCATTGCTCTTGTTAAGTGGTATGATGTGTTCGTCTTCTGTTGTTATAATTACATCATCACATTTATTTGAATCGTTTCATCACTAATATTTAACGACGAAATTTCTATATCATCATAATATAAACATTGCTTCTTTAAAACTCCGATATCATCATATTTTTGTCAAACACCACATCACTTGATTCTTGAACGTTATATTGAACGATGCTTTCTTATACTAGGCATATCAAATTGTTCTAAATCATGAATGCGAACAATATCTGATACGCGTTCAAGATTTGAATTAAATGATTTATGCTTTTGATTGTTAATTATAACATTTCTAGCAGCAGATACTGTGCATTCGTGTTGATCTGTTAAGTTTTTAAAATGCTTTTGGCTGTCAGATTTTTTGGTTGTTATATGTTTCATTGTGCTTTGTCTTAAATATGTGAGTTTTCGATGAAAAACATTTGCATAAACCTCTATTATTACACCCACAAAGATTCCTGTAGTTGATGCTGTTTAGAGGAGGCTGGCATATTATTTGATGCAATTGCAACGTTCCGACTAAAGTATTCAAATCTTTGGGCGTGATTTTGTCTAAACTTTCTATTTCCAATTCTGGTATGTAAAAGCATTTTACAGATACCATAGGTGTAGTCAAAATGTCGTAAGCACTTTGTGCATCCATCACATCCTTGCCATATGAAACTTCACGATCTAGTGCTCTTTTGACAGATCCGCCTATACCGTCGGCAACACCTTTTCCATGGCCTGCCTCTGAATACGGCCATGTTGCGTAGTCAAATTGGAATTTTCTTATAAATAAACTAAGTAGATAAAAATTTCTCTTCTGCCGATATTGAGATGGTGGTCCATCTGAAAATACGTGCAAGACCTTTATCAAAGGTGATTTTTTTCACCATTTTTATAATCGGAATCAGATGCGCCCATATAGCTGGGGGCTCGTGAGAATTGTTATCAGCTATAGTACAAAGTGATTGAGCTGCATCTGCCCAATAAATCATGCCAGTATGGAGGGTGATTTGATTTTTTGAAGCGCCAAAGTGGGTGGCCTGTACTTCCTGTGACATTTTACATAGATAGTTCTCTGAAAAATCACAAAGGATGAGAGCTTCATTTGGTTTCAATTCCTTAATGCAAGCTTGATATTGACGCTGTTGGTGAATCCAGTTAAAGACATGCTTTTTAAAAGCAGGCAAGCTTTTTTCGAAGATGTTTATCAGTACAGCTATGGTTCCAGTCTTTCTTGATTTTGCAGTTTTTTAGTAGTCAATGTTTTTTACTCGTTCTTTGTTCAGTCTTTTGATATTGGTGATTCAGTCTTTCCAATTGGTGCCAATCTGTGTTCAAATCACCTTGCCCTTCCTTGAGTTCATAATTTAACGCTTTTGTTTTACATTTGTCACACGTTCCATACATACACTCTTGCGATTTTACATCGCAGCACAAATCTTTTAATGCATCTGCGGGATTTTTATATTTTTGTAGTATTTTGTTTTTTTTTTTTAGTGCATAAAACAACATTTCAGCATTCACGTGTTTCATACACTGGCATGTATCTCTTTTATTAATGTTCGGAGATAGAACGTAGAAATTGGGCACTAGGGCTCTAAATAAGGTCCATAATTGAACTGCAAGGTTTTAGGCGTTATATACCAGAAAAATTACATCTTTAGAAATCAGTGGCTTTAAACTACTATTAAGTTCGTAGCTTTCGAATAATGAAACGGAAATTTATATAAATTGGTGTCGTGGCCCTTATAAAGTCTTAGGAAATGTATACGAGTTACAATTAATCTATTTTCTAGTTATAATTGAAACAAATTGTAGTTTTATGCTGATTTTTATTTACTCTAGTAAAGAAAAACACAAAATGTTACTAATCAGTCATTTATTCAGTCTTAGTCATTGGACCTTATTAGGTATTACACTTCTGTAATCATAGTCTGGACCTTATTAAGTGTTTGAAAATAACAAACATGGCAACCATTGCAGCTAAAGATTAAAAGATAAATATGCACATATATTCACAGTGTGTATTTACTTATCCTTATTATATATTTTTCTGTTATATATATAATCAAAACAAGCGTATATAAATTAAAAAATGTCTATTTTAAAACTTCGTACCCCTAATAAGGTCCGGCCCTTCTTTGGAGACATCAAGTGGACCTTGTTAGGCACTTAGATATGTACTGAGAAAACTAAAACAAAATCGAGATAAAAAAAGCAATAATTTTGATAACTTACCCTGTCAATCCACGTTCTGAAAGTATTTTACACTACTATTGCAGAATTATTACAAAACGACCGGGTTTTATAACTAAAACAACGCAAAATTGAGTCACAATATTTTATAAATTGAGTCACGTCGACCGCCCCTGGGGTTAAACACAGAGCCACTGACAAAATGGTCACTGCGAAAACAATAAACGTCGGTGCGCTTTTGTGATTGGTTACTGGGAAGGGGCCGCGTGGTATCCGTTTTGTTTTAAGTATTAAGTAGGAGAAGTTTGAAAAGATGGACCTTATTTGGAACCGGCCCTTTTTAGGCGCACCTACCTTATGGCCAGAATTAGATTTAAAAATAAGGCTCCATTTAAGAAAATTCTTGCGTGACTGTAGGAATTTCTGTAACTTACTTACTTACTATCAAATGTACGGTACGGTAGAGATGCAACATTCGCATTTCGCAGTGGTAATAAGAAGACAAGCCGTTCAGAAAGAGCTCGGTCAGAAGGAGCTGCGAGCTGGCACTGGGCATGTGGAACCCCGGCTCAAAGATGGGAAGTGGGAACATTATTTCATATACAAATTCATTTAATGCCCCTACTGGCATAGGCGTAGGGTTTCTTTAACCCATTACCGCCCTCTGTACCCGCGTGTGTACAACTATTTTATGCGTGATTGCGTTTTGTTTATTTGTGGAACTACGGTATTGATTAATTATTTTAAATCTCTGTACTTGTAGCTGTCTATGGAATATAGAAAAAATTGTGTGACGGGAAAATAAATGTTCGAAATGTCACTTCGTTTTACGAGTTGTGGCCAAGTTGGTAAGATAAGACTTTTGTTTGTATTATTTTTATTATAAATAATTACATATTCATGATTGTTTTTTACTGTTTTGTGTTATAAGGCTTTATACTGATATATTATATGGTTGGAATAACAATTCGTTTGGATAAAAGTGCAATACACATGATTTTTCTGTGCTGTACCTGTTGGTGTACAATGGGCGCTTGTGTAAATAATTTTTGTATTTTTCAGGTGTTTTCAAAGACCCTACAATGACTGACCGTCACGTCTTTATGAGTCAAAATAACTATGCGAGATTTGAAGAAGCCCTTGAATCTATAGTAGCTGATGAAAATGATGATGCGCAGTACGACGTATTTTTATTGCCACCAGATCCAGCTATTGTTAGTGATGAAGAAGAAGGTAATGAAGATGACTTGTCTTCTACAACTTTCCCGAGAGACGTACCGGGTACAGTTGAGGTAGCCCCACTGCATCCTGCTCATGATGTTTCGGACTGGGATGACAGTGATAACGAGTCATTGTCCATTCACTCACGACCTGCAAAGCGGGCTAGAAGGCGAGATTCTAACGAGCCTGTATGGAGAAAAACTTTACCCTTATACAGCATGACCATGCTACTGGTATCATTCAGCGACGACAAGAAATCCTCGTTGAATCTTTGAAAGACTGCAGCCCTGTGATGTTATTTGAGAAGATATTTGATGATAATGTTATGAGTTTGATTGTGGAAAATAGCATGAAGTATACTGGGAACAGACACACTTTTGAAATTGATAAGCCCAAATTGAGAACTTTTCTGGCCATTTTATGTTTTACTGGATATCATGAACTGCCTTCCGAACGTGCCTATTGGAGTTTGGATGAAGATCTCGGCGTTCCATTGATCGCCAATTGCATGTCACGCAATAGGTTTTCGGACATCAAACGAAACTTACATTTCGTCGACAATTCCCTAGCGGAAGGTTCAAATGATAAAATGTTCAAAATGAGACCGCTGTGCGATCTTATACAAAAAAAAAGCTCTTGCCAGTGGGGAGTGTTTCACGAAAACTTATCTATAGATGAATCTATGATAATATACTTTGGTCGTCATCCCGCCAAGCAATACATAATGGAAAAACCTGTACGATTTGGCTACCGGAATTGGGCTGCAACAAGTTCAGATGGCTACTGCTACACTTTCGACATATATTGCGGAAAATCTACAGAAGTGTCGATAGACCCACTGGGCTCGAAAGTGGTAAAATCCCTATTAGCAAAGATGCCGATAGTCCCAAAAGAACATGTCGTATACTTTGATAATTTTTTTACCAATTATCAGTTACTCCACGACTTGCGACTCTTAGGGTACAGAGCCACAGGAACAATACGAGAAAATAGAACAAAAAGTTGTCCTGTGGCTGATGTAAAAACAATGAAAAAGAAACCAAGGGCGGATTACGACTATCGTTTCGATACCAAAAATGAAATAACAATCGTGCGGTGGAAAGATAACAACGTGGTCACGATGGGATCAAATTTTGACGCTGTAGAACCACTGGAGAAGGTGAAAAGGTGGTGTAGTATACAGAAACAAAAAGTGGATGTATATATTCCAAGATTGTTCAATTATAACAGAGGCATGGGTGGAGTAGATCAGATGGATCAATCGATTGGTCTCTATCGAGTAGCCATAAAAGGAAAAAAATGGTGGTGGGTAATCTTTACCTACCATTTAGATATGGCGATTTCAAATGCTTGGCGTCTGCATGTCTTGATCAGCAAAACTACTGACACGCCCTACATGGATCAATTGCTATTCCGGCGTACGATTGTTAGAGCATACCTTCGCCAAACTAAGACGAAAAGTCGTCCTACGCTTCTCAACAATATCTGGCCTTGTGCAGAAAAATAACGGACATAACCCGCAACTCATCGAAAACCCATTACGATGTGTTATTTGCCACAACCGCGTTCGTTGGCGCTGTGAGATATGTGCCAAAACACTATGTGTGGAACGACCATGCTTTGGACAATTTCATGCCTGATTCGCCCATTGTACCCGGACAAGTACACACCGACAGTTCCCAAAAAAAAATTACTTTTGTACCTCTTATTTAGTCCATATTCATGCAATAAATAACGAGTGGTTATAATTTTCATGTGTAGTTTAATTTTGGGCGTTAAGGCCGAATACGACGCGAATGACCTTGCTAGTTTCGCAGTAAACCACGCGCCGCCAGTACCTACGCTTTGTTTATATAGACGTGTATAATGCTCTGTGTTGTGTTCAGTCAAATATAATCAAAGCCGTACGGCTTTGATTATATTTGACTGAACTAGCTCAGATGCAGAGTAATGAACAACACAGAGCGTATTGCTTACTTCTTAAATAAATTTTTCTTATTTATAATATTAGTTCCAATAGATTATAAATTCTGTACTTGATTCGTTATAAAATATTGTTCGAAAAGTTATTGAATTGATAACGATTTTTTTTCTTAATTGGTGCATCGTACGTAAAGAATCTCATATAACTGAAAATGTTTGTTCTTGTGAGTCTTACAAGATGCCGTAATGCAAATTGCATAAATAATAAAGAAAAAAAACTAGAAATTCGGTGATTGCCCCATAGTGGGGATAGGTACTGTGTATGTAAATTCTCACAAGACTACTCCGACTGGTCGATCACTTCACATCCGAAGTATTTCGGTTTTTCTTAATTATGTACTTTTACCCCATGCTTTCGGACAATACATTGACTGACATTATTTGCGGTCTCTGCGCTTGCACTACTCTGTACATTCTTTTCCGACTGGGTCTTGATATTTTACATTTTTAGTGTTTCTCACTTGAAACTAGAAAAGTATAAATGATCAGTTTGGCTTATGTAAATGAGTAAAAATGCAACCTATTAGGCAGCCTCAAACAAAAAATTACCTTACTAAATATAAGTATTAACCTCAAAATACAACATTCGAGCAGCGTTCATGCGATAAACTCTCTTTTTTTACCACTTAGGTAACATTTATTTCTTTTCCTACCCATATTTACATTTATAGACACTTAAACGCGTATAAAACAACAAATTAACGATTTTCGCTACAGACACATCGACTGTTGTTACCTTACGTCACACGTCGAAGCGCCTGGTAATTTATTACGCCAAACTTTTATCTGGCAATATACGATATTATTATTTGATATTTTGAATTAAAACGAATTATGTTAATAAATAATATTTTAGCAGGTACCTTCGGAATTACAATACAAACATTTTTACGTAAAAGAATTTTTCCTAAATTAAAATTCACAGAGTTTTGGAAGAACAATAATATTATATATCATTTCTTAACATTCTTTTATTTGTTGGTATATTCATTTATTTTAAAATGACGGTGACATTGTGAAGGACCCGAACAAACCTACGAAAATGTTTTAAAGCTTAGAATTACTTCAGATCAAAGTTCTAGTCAAGAGAAATACATTAATTTTCGCCAGTTCTCTTCGTATTCGGCCTTAATGGGTTAAAGGAGAATTATCCCAAATTGATTAGTTTTTACTATTTTAATCAATCTGGGATAACACAAATGGGCTTTTTTTTTTTTTTTTTTTTTTGCGCCCGAAGCAAATATGGGCAACCCTCCGGAAAGCGGGGGAGGGAGGTGGTGAATGCTCATAGCATACCACGCAGCCGGCTGCGTGGTTAGTGGCGCTTTTACCCTCACACCTTTAGAAATGAGAGTCTCTAAGCCGTATACGAAGACCCTCCTGGCGAAAGGAGGGCCAATGGCTATTTGTTATATACCATAATATATATGCTGATTGTGAACAAAACCATTGCGTGTTATAATCCTGTTATAATCTTTCGTAAAGCGACATCTAGTGAAATAGCTCAGAAAACCGCAATGCTTGCACTGCTTTGTTCTGGTCGGAGGAGTAAAGAAAGTCAGCTTAATGAGACCATCCACGACTTTTTCCACCACCAGGAATGCGCCCTTTAAAATGAGGTGTGCGCCATTTAAAAGTTAATTGGTTAGAAAATTGTAAAGCTTAATGTTTCTTTCTGTTCCATTAGTTATATTTTATATTAAATAGATTAAAAAGAAATAAACCAAATCACAGATATTAATAAAAATGGAAAAATAAAAAAATGTTAATAATGTGCAAAAAATTAAAGAAGAAACCACAGAGGCATTGTTTTGTGTATTAATATAATGCTCTAGAAAGTGATAAACTTTTATTTAAAACTAAATTATCAATTAAATGACATTGTGTAACAAAAAAATCACGTCAGTGTCAACCAGCGACATCTAGCGAGCATAAGATTATTAACCTTCATTAGATGCATTCCTTCTTAAGTCTTCTTGTTTGAATTCCGTTGCAGGTATACATGAGCTACTGTATTCACTTACCATCATGCAGACTGTTAATTCGATGATCACTTCACTTTTATAGAAAAAACAATATTTTAAAAGATTTTATAAATTACTGTTTGCCAAACTTTGTTCTGCTTTTACCAGCAGTGTCGCGATGAGTATCAAGTTTTGAAATAATTATTACTCTACCTCAGCGTCACTTATTCGGCCCAGATATTGTTTTCTCGGCACTAAACCAACATACAAAATTTTATACTGCATGACCCTTTTTACCAATATCCGGTCTACAAAATGGCCGCTGCTCAGGCACGAACTAGCACGCAATAAAACTAAGAAACACCGGCCAAGAGCGTGTCGGGCCACGCTCATTGTAGGGTTCCGTAGTTTCCCGTCCGTCACAATAAGTGTTCCCACTTATGAGTTTGTACAAAAACTGTTGTTTACATCCAAGTTCAAAATGATTTTCCTAGAAAGTCCAAATAAAGTTCTACTTTTCAGATTTTTTTCATATTTTCTAAACTTATGGTTCAAAAGTTAGAGGGAGGGGGGAGGACATTGTTTTTTACTTTTGGTGCGATTATTTCCGAAATTATTGACATTATCAAAAAATAATTTTAGTAAACCCCTATTCATTTTTAAATACCTTTCCAACAATAGATCACACGTTAGGGTTGAAATTAAAAAAAAAATCACTTCCCACTTTACATATAGGGGGCTACCCTAATAAAACATTTTTTTTCCAATTTTTATTTTACCACTTTGTCGGCGTGATTGATACACATATTGGTACCATATTTCAGCTTTCTAGTGCTAACGGAGCGAGGACGCACAGACGGACAGACAGACATGGCGAAACTATAAGGGTTCCTAGTTGACTACGGAACCCTAAAAAGTAATCGAAGTCTGATTTTAACCAAGTCCAAACGAGAAGGTGTTATGTTTTATTTTTATATATGTTCAACGATTTCTCGGAACCGGCTAAATTGATTTAAATAATTACTTTTTATAAATTATAAATTATAATGTAACGGTGTTTGTATATAAATTTAGAGATATAATCCATCCTGACGTGGTCTTAGCACGATTTCAAATTCGTTTTTCACCCGCGCGTCTCGCAGTGGGCGGAGCGCAACCGGCTGTCGGAGAGCGCCGTGTGAACACACTGTGCGCAAAGCTTCAATTTCAAAAATTCACCTCCAAACAAAAACTTTTCCGTGAGGTCTACTGTTCTCAACACTACTAGTATTATAGTAATAATATTTTGAGTACCTACTCACTAATATCAAAACTGTTTACAATATCGGTAGTCTGGACATCATACTACATTTTAATTATCAATATTTTTTTTAGTCAGTTTTATGATATGAGCAGGTACATAGTCAACTATTTACATACATAAACATTTAAAACGCCACCTCACAAATTCTAAAGAAAACCAAGTTTCGTTGGCAAAATAGCTAAAATAAGAGAAAAAGAATAGTTTCAAATAAAACCATTAGAAAATTCAAATTTATTTTACTGTTTTCTATTACCTTACCTCCGGACTTGGTGGAGTGACCTGAAGGCACTTTGGTAATCGGTATTGGAACAAGTCGCCGAGTACTACTAGGTGTGCCGAGGTAGGACTCGTTTTGTTAGGTATTATGAGACCTTACCTCCGGACTTGATGGAGTGACCTGAAGGTGTACTTTGGTAATCGGCATTGGAACAGGTCGCCAAGCACTACTAGGTGTGACGAGTTTGGGCTCGTTTTGTTAGGTATGACGAGCCCTTACCTCCGGACTTGATGGAGTGACCTGATTTGGTAATCGGCATTGGAACAGGTCGCCGAGTACTACTAGGTGTGCCGAGTTTGGGCTCGTTTTGTTGAAGAATACCTAACAAAATGAGTCCAAACTCGGCACACCTAGTAGTACTTGGAGACCAGTTGCAATAGCGATTATCAAAGTTCACCTTCAGGTCACTCCGTCAAGTCCGGAAGTAAAGGCTCATCATACCTAACAAAACGAGCCCAAACTCGGCGCACCTAGTAGTACTCGGCGACCTGTTCCAATGCCGATTATCAAAATACACCTTCAGGTCACTCCGTCAAGTCCGTCGGTAAGGACTCATCATACCTAACAGAACGAGCCCTAACTCGGCACACCTAGTAGTACTCGGCGACCAGTTCCAATAACGATTACCAAAGTATACCTTTAGGTCACTCCGTCGACTCCGGAGGTAAGGATTCATCATACCTAACAAAACGAGCCCAAACTCGGCACACCTAGTTCTACTAGTCCAGGTGTTCCAGTATTAGTTACTGAAGGTCACTTTCAGGTCACACCATCAAGTCCGGAGGTAAGGTCTTATCATAACTGACAAAACCAGCCCAAAGTCCACAGCTAACTTCTCAGTGCCAGCAGAGGGCTCCCAGTGCAAAGCAGTCTCTAGAGTAGGTATTCGGTGGCGATCTAGGGTGGAAAGAAATCGGGGCTTTTATCGAGGCAGACCCTACACACGGGCCTGCCTAGCAATACGCGTTTGGACTTGGAGC